GAAACCGGGGGGGTGGTTCGGGCTCTAGAACGCCGCCCGGCCCCGTCTCTGGCGGAGCTGGACAGCAGCAGCTCCTTCAGCAGCATGGATGAAGACCACGACTCGGATTCAGACCCAGAAAGCATGGTACCCAACCAAGTGCACGGGCACCAGCGCCCTCCACTGGTGCGCTCCCGGGGCCGCGGTGGGCTGCACCGCATGAGCGAGGCCTTTGTGTGTTTCTTTGCTCCGGACAAGCGGCTGACACGGCTGATGGAGGAGCTGTCCAGAGACAGACGCTCCATCTTTGGAGGCATGGTTCAGGACTTTCTCCGGACTGAGAGGGAGACGCTCAAATCCCTGGCTTCTGCTTCATCTTCCTCTTCATCCCCTCAGGTGACCTCTGTCCAGCTCCTCCAGAGTCTGCGGCTGTTTCTGTCCCAGGCCAAGTGCTGCCTGCTGGACAGTGGAGAACTGGAGCCTCCTATTGAGACCCAAAATGAGGAGAATGAGAAAGGTAAAACAAAAAAAAAAAAAGTTTGAAATTATTCATTTATCTTTGTATGTGTATCTATGTATATATATTTATATTTATTTTATTGACTAAAATGATTGTTTGTCAAAACTATTCAGTTCCTGGAATATGTTTTTGTTCCTGGGTTTCTGTGGTGGAATTGTGGCCAAAGACGGGAAATATTTTTCACAATCATCATCAATATACTCTTCATCTCTCTCTCTCTCTCTACTCAATCTACCCCCCCTCCACCCCTGCCCCCCACACACTCTCAGCACCCCTCCTTCTGTTTCCATCTCCAACAGATGACATGTGATGTGATGCTCTGTCAGTTAGTGGCTACTTCACCAACAACAGCCTGGGTTTTATTCACTATTATTTACACAGAACTCTATCTGATACCACCCTCGAAGTAACCTGCCTATTTCTATCTTTCCCTCCCTCACTCACTCACTCACTCCATCTCTCCTTCCCTCCCTTCCTCTCCTGAATCGTGCTGCTCTTCAAGTGAGCGTGGGACTGTGATATCTTTTTATGATAAACGAGGGGGAGCAAAAAAAAAATGAAAAAAATGCAAATGCCTCCCACCGACGCAGTGCGAGATAAATCAAATCAGAAAGGACAGGGAGAGCGGGAGGAAAAAAGGAAGGAGGGAAGGGCCTGCTGTCCCCCCGAAGCCTCTGAGAAACCAATCCATCATCACACACACATTTTACTCACAAACACACCTACAGACTCACAAACACACAGAGGCGTCACCCCATAAAAAGACAGACCAAAGCGCAGGACTGCGATAGAAGATCTAAGTAGGACGTGAACATCCTGCGACACGTCTGCACTAATGAGGAGAATCAGACATTGATTGTGATGGATGTGAGTGCAGACGCTCTGGAGGCGGAGCTTCAGCCGTATCTGTTTTCCTACACAACCCAAACAAAAATGAGCTCCTTAGATTTGAAGCACCAGGTAAATTCACCGGAGCCTGAACGGACAACCATGGAAGCAGAACGTTTGCACACTGATGTCACATGGTTCAAAGGTCATGTGACCTTTATATATAAAGTTTCCAGTGTCTTATTTAGTCTTGTCTCTTTTCTTCTGTCTCTCCTCAGACCTGGCCCTGGAGCGAGCCATGTTCTCCTGCGTCCTCAGACCTCTGAAGTCACACCTTGAAAAAGCCTTGGTGGCGTTGCACGATCAGGACGGCTCCAACCAGAGACTCACCCAGAACATGCACCGCCTGAAGGGGGACGTGGCTATGGAGCGTCTAGGAGTGAGGACGGGGGTCCCTGACGTACGTGGAGTGGAAAGGGTGAAGCAGAAGCTGGTGCTAATGCAGAGGACACACTCGCCCATCGACAAAGTGCTGCTGCTGCTGCAAGTGTGCAAATGTGTGCACAAGGCCATGGGTTCATCACATGGTGAGGTCAAGGAGGTGTTGGTATTGTTGATGTGATGCAAAACTACTGGTGAAGAAATGTCAATAACAGGTAGCTGACAAAACAGCTCAAGGTTACCAACAGTATTGCACCAGTTAAAAGTTGCTTAAAATTGAGTATTTTTTTCAAAAGTGGCTAAACATTTGGCCCACAAAGTGCATATAAGTGAGTATAGGAATGAGCCAAAATATAGCTAAAATGTTAGCCTTTTAATTGCTTCAATTTAAAGAATTCATTTATAAAAGTAGCTCAATAGACAATTCAGTTAGGCCCAAAAATAAATAACATCTTCCTAAATGTTGGTCCAGGCAGAGCCTAAATTTTTATAAAATTGTTTTCATTTAGTCAAAAACAGAACTAGCATAAGTTTGTGCCAACTTTCCATCAAAAGCTAGCATATTAACGTAAAGTGTGTCCAGTATATATGTATACAAAATTAGGTACAAATGGTATATATATGTATACTTTCAGCCAAAATTAGGTACAAATTAGCAACAATTACAACAAAAACACTAAGTTAGCACTGTACTAGCTTAGGGTCAGACAAAAAAGTAGTTAATAGAAGCTAACGTAAGACCGGTAGAAACAATGTTCGCTTGTTACATAAATGTTTGTTCCTTTCTTTCCAGGACAGGAAGTGAGCTGGGACGACTTCCTCCCGTCATTGTCCTACGTAATAGTGGAGTGTAACAGGCCTCATATCCTAATCGAGGTGGAGTACATGATGGAACTGTTGGAGCCGTCCTGGCTGGGAGGAGAAGGTACCGGGTCACCTCAGAGAGCCTCATGTAAAGGAGTGTTTTTATTCTGACCAAACCCTGTGTCCAGGTGGATACTACCTGACCAGTGTGTTCGCCAGCCTGTGTCTGATCCAGGGCCTGGACGAGGAGACGCCGTCCTCAGGCTGCCTGACCCCCGAGGCGCAGGAGGCGCTGAAGGAGTGGAGCTGCAGACGGAGTCGTGACGTCCAGAAACAAAAGGAGAACCAGCAGAACCAGGTGAGAACAGAATGCTCTCGGTGTTGTGGCGACAGCAGCCGGTGTGGGTTTGTACGCAGTAGTAACACCTGGTGTGGAGTGTGGACGGATGTGTGGACAGTAGGAGCTGCTGCTTCTTATTCACAACAATGTCTTTGAGATTTTTCTGCATGAATGGGAGAGCGTCAACGACCTTGTAAGATTAAAGGATTACATCAGACAAAAACAAGGACCAGTCCATCTGAGCCCAGACTGGTCCAGACAGGGAACAGCTGTGTGGAAATGTTGAAATGAAGTAGACCAGAATCACCAAAGAAGAAAAGCCATCTCCAGGTAACTGGTAGTTGTAGGTTGTCCATAATTTAAGTGTCAGTTGTATAAAGTAAATAAATAGCGTGAACTCTACAACATTCAGAGTGACTTCCCAGAACAGTCAGCCAGTCCATAAATTATGATCACATGGAGTTTTGACTTTATTCGAGTCAGTGATCTGGTCTGACAGTCAACACTCTATGAGGGGTTTGGTCGACAAAGTCAATACAACCAGAACAATGCAAAATGGTGTGAACTT